ACAGTGAAGCTACTTAATTATGGACCTATTAAGCTTTTCTTTATTTTCTGTCCTGTGTCGCATGCTCATCTTAAATCTAAAAATTCAATTAATGACATCAGGATACATATAAGTTATCCCTGTGAACTAAACGCTCAGGCTTCAGACTGCTCTTAATACCCACTTTCAGGCAGTTTGTTTTTTAGTCTTAGCCCTGCATTAAGTGCTTCTGTCCCTAATATGATGATCATAAGCAGAAAATAAACATTATTCTGGTTTTAGATTGTTTCGATACCTTATTTGTCTTTATAGCCTTTTAGCTCCCTTCACTTCTATTCACTGAGGACTATCTTCCAAGCGCCCTCTACTGTCCTCGAGTCTGAACTGAATCTAGTTTCTGAACCGTAAAGAAAGTGGAATGGTGGCTCTGAGTTCACCAGCTGTTCATTAACTTTGCCTGCAATGCTACATGCACAAGATCCAAACTTGTAATTTGAACTAAATAATTCCATGTTTCTATGGTGAACGTAATTAAATCATGTAGCATCTGCATGAAATTCAGCAACTTAATTTGTTCTTGTTGAGATGACGTGATACAATCCAGTAAGAGTGGCTGGATCCAGGCAACTAACCTTTAAGGGTGTCATCACCCTTAAAGGTGTTTGTGTCACCCGTTATCTGCAGTATTGTACGCCACAGTACTCTTTTTTCATTTATCACTCAACTAGTTGTGCCACTTTTTGTGTGTACTAGCCAAAAAAGCACCATGAGTGTTTCCCCAGTGAGACTTTCTGAAAATGTGGGCTAAATGCCATCACATCCCCATCAGTGCTTTAATGACAACCAGCTTTTCACGCTGCCTTCCAGTGTGGCTGTTCAGATCAAGTGGAGACCTCCCCCAAAAAAGAGTAAATGTGAGGGACCAAAATGCCCATCTTAACCACACCAATTAAGATTATGGAGAGGTTAATGTCCACCTGTTTAGTAGCATTTCCAGTTTTTCTGGTCATTTTAGAGCAATGAATATAAATAAATAATATATGTAGTGTCTATATAT